TAATCAGACACAGTAGGCAAATGTGAGATGAAGTTGGGTGATGGTTGAATATCCCAAAAGAATTTTTGATGGCTTACCAAGATTACCTAAATTTTGGATGTAACCATTATGAAACATTCAGAATTTGCTCTAAAGCAGCATTGAAACCCATGCTTTGGGTACAGCTGCTCCTCACATCTGGTTGCTCAGGAGGTTGTGGGGCCTGCCTTTGTGCTGCTGTGGATTATATTTGGTGTATTAGACATTGTCTAAAACAAATAAAATACTCCACTGCTACACTTTGATATGCTGAAGCCTTTCCAGCAGCCTGTATTGCAAACAATGCACCTCAGTTCAAAAGTGCTACTAGAGGAAAATGTGATGTCATTTCTATGGCTATGCTTGTAGTTAATATTCAGCTTGTGCTGGATTCTTACAAGAAATAAATCCATCTGTATGTGCAGTGTTCCAGAGTACGCTTGTTCCCCTTCAGAGTGCTGTGGATAATAGAGAAGCCTGATGTAATTGTGTTTGGTGGCAGCAGCCTGTGTAAATTCCTTTGGGTGCTTGTCACCAGCCCAGTGTCAGTGTTTGTCAGCAGCCACTGCCTTGCACAATGCCTCATGCTGCTTTAGGATGAGGGAGAGACAAAGCTTATCTTCCTCATTGCACTGCTGCAACTGTGCTGTGCCTGCATAACCACACCTGGGATACAACTTGTTAATTGTGAGAGCAACTGGCCCAAAGCTTGAGTTGTTCTGGTCAAATGTGGAGTGGTGGAGCCTCTGCTGAAGCCCCAGGTTGTGACACTTGGCTGTTGGCACTGAGGCACCTGTGAAGGTGTAGAGGAAGGCTGGTCTGTGTGCTCAAGCCATTATGTGGCTTTGGCAGATTTGTAATACTCTCACTAGTCTTGGTAGTTAGGATTGCATAACTTACTTTCTCTTACTGAAATTCCCCTGTAGTACTGGCTCAGATTTCATCCAGATTCAAGTTCTGTAGCTGCCTGGCAGGGGGAAAAGACTTTTTTTTTTTTTTTTTTTTTTTTAATCTCTCCATTGTCTTACCCACTCCAGTAATACTAGTGCTTAGCTGTAGAGGAGGATACTGGGGCAGTGCTGAGCATTTGGGCTGTCATGTGGCTGCTGCCTGTGTTCCATGCTTCAGCTGAACCTGCCCCTTGCTGCTGTAACAGGCACTGGCTGTGTACTCAGAAATTCCAGAAAGCTGGAGAAACTGATTTCCCACTGTTAAGCTTTCTGTTGCTGTTTAACTTGTATGGTCCTTCCCTTTTTTTTTTTTTTTAAAGTCAGTATGTGATCAGGGATCAGGCTTTTCTTGGATAAAGGGATTAAGTGTGGGGGTAGGGAGAGGGAAGACTGTGTGGCAGTAGGAATTGTAGAAAAAAGTATTTCCTTTGTGCCCTTGGCTTACTATTTCAGTCTAACACATTGAAGGTTATTGGCAGTTATTCTAAAAACTATTCAAACATACAAATGCTGAAGGGAGAAAACAAAAGCAAGCAGGAATCCTCTTGAACGTTAAGAAAAAGTTACATGAGAGTTTGATAGCATTATAACTTCCAGTGGCCTCTTTTGAACAGCCAGTGTGGCAATTACTTTATTTATAAAGCTATAAACATACTTTGAACATAAAAGCCAAAAACTACAAACTCAGTGAAGTAAAAAAATGACAACAAATAATGGATAGTCATTGGACAAATGAAGGTACAGCTGCAAAACATTTATCCCTACTACATCCATACAGTGGTTTTACTTGTTTTAATGAAGTGGTACTTCCATGACTTCTACATTCAGACTGATTCCAGGAATTCAAATATGTATTTCAGGAAGAGTTAAACTGATGTAACTAGAAAAAAAACTTTTTGAGATAAAAACTTCAGAGCAAAGTCTTCTTTCTGTTAAAAAAGAGTATTAACACAAAATAGCAACACTTCATATGGTAATTCTAAAGACACTTTTTTGGTATTAATAAAAAAGAGTAACTTTGTTTTGGCATTGGTTATCAGCCACTGGGCCATGGAACAGAAGTTAATCATACTGTTTTGTCTTGGAAAGGGGCAGCCTAAAGCTATCTTTTCTGTGTTTTGTAATAAAAATAATGGAATTTTCTCAGTTAACCCAGTATAAACTGAGTGTAGTATATCACAAGTTGATATTCTGAGTTTATCCTACAGTAGATGGAAGCACATGGTAAGGCCTGGCCATTAACCTGTAGGTATAGAACAGAACACAGGCACAACAACGCTGTGGATGTGACTGTTCCAGCTCTGGGACTCTGAAAACGTTTCTGTGCCATGAGGGCACAGGGAAGGGCTCCTGGAGAGCAGGTGTTAGGTGTCACTAAGGAACTTTTGCAGGAATCAATTGGAATAACAATGGTGAGATGAGGCTGTAATGCAGATGAGCCTTTTGCTGGTCGAGGCAGGGACTCACAACACCATAGAGGGGTCAGAGGAGCCTTGAAATAACAGGGTAGAAGTCCCAGAGTGTGAAATGAATGAGGGCTGTTCTGGGTGCCTCGGCTAGTTTAATACTGATCAGGACTTACCCTGAAATGTCCTCTGTTGTTATTTAGACACATCTGCTTGTTCTTTTCTACCTGCCTTTGCTGCTAAGTTACATCTGTCATCCGATACCAGTCGGGTGTTAAGTTACATGAGCCTTACACCCAGTATGGGGTACACCAGGCTATGGTGGCTGGTCTGTTATCTGCGGTGTTTCCAGTAGGTGACACTTTTACAGCACCTTACAGTAGCAGAGGGTCTGAGCGTGACAAATGATGAGCTTAGACACAGCCATTTTTAAAGCTGTTTTTTTGTTTGTTTGTTTGTAAATCAAGTTATTAAAGAAACCATGTTAGGTCTGGCAAATCTACTAAGTTCCTTTGTTCAGCAGTGGAACATGCTGTTGACTAAGCTTGCTAAAATAATTTCAAATGAGAAGATTGCATATTGATCTAGTGCTATGTAATTAGCCCTCTGCAGTCAGTGCACAAGTGTACAGTTGGCATTCACTCGGGTAATGCTACTTCTCCAAGGGTTAAAATGATTCACACTTCAAAATGACTTCGCAAACTTGTGAGTTTTGTGCACATAGCTTTCTGTCAGTGCTTCTGAAGTTATAGTTACATAGGAGATGAATAAAGAATTAGATTTAGATCTTCTAAACTAAAACCAGAAATAAAAAATCTATACTACTATAAGCAAAACTATCTAAATAAAGGGACTAAACCCAAAGCTGGTCTACACACTAGTTAGGTTTTTTTTTTTTTTTAAAGTTTAGATCTTTGAGGCATACACTTGGTTAAAAAGTTATGTTTAATCCAATGTAAAAAATTATGGTTTGTGTTTTTGCATTAAGAAAAAATATAAAAATATTTTGTACATTATAAAAGTCATCTTAAATTTCTTGCAGTTCTACAATAATATTACTACATACTTTGTATTCAGTACTCCAAAACCCATCTATCAAGTAGGAAAAAATAGTGCTCCCTCTACCTCTGTGTGGTGTCATTTTTTTATTCAGCAGTCTGGAATAGATTTCTTTCAAAGAGGAAAAAAGTCTGCACTGGACTAGACTGTGGTCTCTGAGAAGACTGTAAACCTGAAGTAAATCCAGAACTTGAAATTATTTGGGATTTAAATCAGTTCGTGGAGATCATAATCCATCGTGTTTTGTTTATCAAACTCAAAATATAAATACAATGCCAGAAACTGGTAAACATTTTAAAGCTGGAGAGAATACATGAACATTTGGCATCGTCATTGGGGTGGAGAATCTTTCGGGAAAAAGCTAGAATAAGGTTTTTTTAAAAAAATTCTACACTGAATCATGAAAAAGAGGGTTCTTATCTCGCTGAGGGTATGTACAGATGGATGCCTACAGCCCAGAGCAGGTTAGTGAGTGCTACTCTGCAGCCACACAGCCCTGCGACAGGAGAGCTCACACCTTCCCCCTCCCCACTCTGTCTGCTCAGAGAAAGGCCAGTGTGGTCCTCAGCCCTGGGCTAGTGTGATCCTGGGCCACTGGCCAGCCTGCTGGTGCTCCTGGCTCCACAGCTGCCTTGCCCTGCTCACCGTTGTGGAGGTGCAGAGCTCGATCAGAGCCTATAAAACCAACAGACTGATTTCTGAGGCTTTGGCCAGTCTGTCTGGTGGGATTTCTTACCATCCACATCTGCGGAAGATAATTCCTAACAGCAGGGCAGACCCTGCACCTGACTGATGCCCTGAGCAACCATCAGCCCTTCCAGCAGCCAGTCTGTGATCCTTTGCCCGGCTGGTGCTCCCTTTGTGTCGCTGCACAATCGGGGAATGGGACATGTCTGCACAGAGACCTGTTACTTGCAAACAACATCTTCCTGTTCTCAAACAAGAAGTTAAAAAAATTCACCTCATTAGTTTAAATAATTCTCTTTTACCTGGTCAGATCAGAATGCTGGCATCGCTACGTTTCCTTTTCAGACATAACGGCTTTAAAAAAAAGATGCTGCTATTCCAGCTTTTTCAGCTCCGTGGTGTAATGGCTATGAGAGATCTGTGAGTGACTACACTTTCAACAGCTCGGAGGGCAGGGAGTGGAAGCCATGGTTAGACTGACAGCACCTACCACCTACTACAGCAAGCAGGGGACATGGCTCTGCTCAGTGCCACACGTGGAGATAATGCAGTTAAAAAGAAACCAAAACAAAACCCCAAACAAACAAAAAGGCATCACAGGGGAGGGACAAAAGGCTTGTTTACTCATCAGCACTTTAAATTTTGGTAAGAACTTATTTTTTACCTTTTTTTTTAATTGCTTTTCTATCTTTATCACCCCTCCCCTCCAAAAAAAACCCCAACCCAGTGAGATTTCCGTCATCCTTAAGTCATCCTGTCGCCAAACTTCGCATGTTTTACAGTGATATGGGGATTTGGCTGGGCCTGTGGTCCTCGTCCAGGGGCAGTGGAACCAGGTGGGCGAGCGGAGTGCCCGGTGTGGAAAGCGGCTAGCGAGGGACTATGTCCTCGAGGAGGCGCGGCTGTAGGCGGGGGGCGCGGCGGGCGCCGAGGAGCGCCGGGCGCCTGGTGTGGACGGGCCAGAGGCGGGCGGGAGGTGTGCGGACACGGGGCAGGGATCGGGCTGGTCGCGGTGCTCGGGGTTGGCGGGGGCTGCGAGCTGCTCTGATGGGAAGGCGGAGGGGATGCATCGGAGTGCGTCCGGTGGGGATGGAGGGGAGTCTATAGCACTTCCATCGGAAGAAACTGGGCTGGCACAGCGTCCTTCTCCTTGTAGGTACCGAATGCACTTCTTTTTCCTCCTGGAACAGCGGAGAGAGGTCTCTGTGAGTAACGGGAGAGTCCCGTCAGCCCCGCGGATCCGCCGTTCCCTTCTCCCCGCGGGGCCGGGATGGCGGCGGAACTGCAGCGCTGCGGGGACACCGCCAGGTGGCGCCAGCGGGCCGGGAGCGGAGCCCGTGGGAAGCGGCTCGGTCGCAGCGGGAGAGAAGGGGGGCATGAAAGAGGAGTAAAAATCAAAATGCAGTAATAAAAATGAAAACAGCAGAAAATAAAGAAAACCTCAAAATAATAATAATTATCAAAGCCATGAAATGAAAATAATAATAAAAAAGCGAAACAACAAGATTTTAAAATAATAATAAAAATAATTTAAAAATCAAAAGAATAACGTAGGTCCAACCCGTGAGGTCATTCCTCGCCAGCCACCACCCCAACTACTCGAATTCTGTGGGGGTGCCTGGCTCTCATGAGTTCAGGCCTAAAGCATTCTCCCCGTGGGTCCCCTCCCCACCTGCCGCAGAACCCAGGCAAGGCCTGTAGGACAGTGGTGTGCACTGGTGTCACAGGGCACATCAGCACCACTGTGCTTAGCAGTGCCAGGCTGTGCTCTGCTGGGATACTGCCGTTCACACCAGTCTCAGCTTTTCTCATCCCAAAATCTAAAGGTTCCAAGAGCCCATTTCCCAGCACTTTCCTAGCTTTGTGCACAGTATAATCTATTCAGAACCACAGACGGGTTTGGGTTAAAGCTTGTCCTGTTTCAACCTCCCTGTCATAGGCAGTGACACCCTCCACTAGACCAGAAGTTGCTTCAAGTACTATTGAACCTGGCCTTAGCTCTCAGCTCTTCTTTCCTGCTGAGTTCTCTCTGCATCTGAGTGTACTTCCCATTCATCCCCCCCTCCAAGGACAACTCAGTGATACAGCTGAACAAAAACGTGCTCAGCAACCATTCAGGAAAAGGAAAGGAAATGGCCTGGGACTGGTTGGGATGGTCTTGAGGGTGTCTGCTCTGCAAAGGTGGAACAGTCCTGAGGCCTTCAGAGGACTTGGTGCTCCTTGGAGGGCAGATCACCTTTAACCTGCTTACCGAGCTAAGGGAAAATCAGTCGTGACAGAGCTACCAATCACACTTCAGCCCATGGGGTTCCTGGAGAGGAAATGTTTGCTGAGACCTCCACTTGGGATGTGACCTCTCCCTTGAGAAGTGGAGTATAGGTGCAAAATGCAATGTGGGCAGACACTAGAGAGAAAGATTTGGCAGAAGGGTATGAATGGTTGTGCAGTGGTGACTCAGTTCCATGGTTCCATCTTGTGGAGTGTGATAGAGCTCATCAGCTGGGGATGGCTTTACTGACCCAAACGGGGCAGCTCTCCTCCCCCAGTCCTGCTCTTCTAGGAAAAAATCTGCTGGGACTGGAAAGGTCCCTAAGGCAGCAGCATCTGCCTTAGGGAGAAGGGACCAACCTCTCTTCATCCCTCCTGGAGGGAACACTCAGGTTCCCCACTTGTTTGGATGTTATGATTGGGGGTATCAAAAAATACAAGTCACATTCTTGCTGTAGCTGGGTTTGGCCATGATTCTTTCACATCCTTTGACAATTCCGTTCAGTATTTATCCCAAATTCCAAGTGTCACTTTGTACATCCAGACTGACTCTGGGCAAGCAGGGGTAGTTAAAACAGTCTGTCATACTATCTTGTGTTCGCTCTGTTGAGCTGGTTTTCCTTCTCTCCATGTGACAGATTCGTCATGTCACCTGCCTTGGGTCCTTGAGCACCTCAGTATACATGCTCAAACAAAGAGCTCTCAAGATGTCACCTTAATAGTATCAAAGGGACAATTCCTCTGCTGGAGCCTTTACAGCTAAAATAGGTAAAAGAACATCTCCCACCTGGCTCCCTGCCTTGGTTGTCTCACTTGAGGAAAACAAATCAAATGGAGAACTCACTAATGCAGGCACGTGCCTTTCTTTGATCTTCCTAATGAAAAACCAGACGGTGTGAGAATGTGTATTAGCTAGTCCAGTATTAAACATGACTTTCACTGAATGTGAACAAGAGCAGTGCTATTACTGCTGTCAGTGCCATCATCAGCCGTGCTGACCCAATTAATGCGACAGGAAACACAACAGCTCAGCTGAACTGAGTATTTAACTCGAGGGTATTTTCCATAGGTAGTAATTCCCCAGAGACAAGCCCGAGGAGGAGCTGTGTTTCCCACAGACACCTTGGGAGTAGCTGCAGGATAGAGTTTCAACGACCTGTTTAAGATTACAGGAATGTGCCCATTGATTCATTTGATTTAAAGTAAAAAAAAAAGCAGATGTGATACTTCAGACTGCTGATAATGACCCAGTCCATGGGTTATGTTGAGGTGGCTGTTACACATCTAAAGGGGTTTATCCTCTCTAAGGGAACTTATCCTTCTCCCTTTGGAAACCAGAGCACCCAGGAGTGTTTATCCCCAGGGTATGTGGGAGGAGTGTGAATGCTCTAGAGTAGGAACACCCAGCCTTAACCAGTTAACCTCTCCTGTGGAGTGGAAATCCTCCTGGGGAACTTGTTCTTCATGGGTGAGCAGAGCATGTCGGACAGGAGTCCCTAAGTGGCACAAACGTGTTAGTATGGGAATTGCACAGCAGCTCTGCCTGACCAGGGCTTGGTTACACAGGGTACACATGAAGAGCACGCCAAGGTGTCCAGGCACTCCAGCAGCCTGTGTTAATTGGGAAGCCATGCAGAGGAGAAGCTGAGTTCAGAGCTGGAATGAAGGCAGAGGGAAGGTGAAAGAAGTGTCCATGGAAGATAACAGGGCATTCAGCCTGATGGCACAGCTGCAGGGGACACGGGACGCTCCAGCAGCCCCCTCTAGACATTCAAGTATTAACAAGACACTGAGTTCTGTCTGGATTCTTAATCAATTAAAAAATGTTGCTTGATGACACTACCCAGGGAATAAAAGGCAAACAGGGAGCTCCGCTGTTGTGGCATGCTGAGGTGCAGGAGGGGAGCTCACATGGGGCTCAGACACAGGGACTGGAGCTTGGGGTGCAGCAAGGTCTGGGCCAGATTTAGGCTGATGAAATGGTTTTAGTCACTTCAAGCTGAAGTGAACACATCAAGCAGTACTTTACTTCCACCTTTTTCCTCAATGTAAAACTGCAAATTGCAGACCTCTGTGCAAGCTGGAGTCTCTCTGTGCTCCAGCACCCAGATCCAGAAGCTTTCAGGAGCTTTCTCTGCCTGGCTGCCTTTGCAGCCCCTCTGAGCCAAGCAGCACTTGGTTGATGCAAACTTTACTATTGCCTGGGCAAATCCATCTCTGAGAGCCTGAAGAATACAGCTGTTTTGCTGCTTGAGGCTATCCCACCCCACCCATGGTGGGTACTGCAAAATTTAAGGCTCAGGAAGAGCTGGATCTTGAAATACATGGTTAGCCCAGTATAAATAGGAAAAAAAAGCCCCATCAAATCCTCACTGCAGGCCCTAGAGTGCCACTAATGTGATTGGAAAACATTAATGGAACAAAAAAAGCCTCGTGTCAGGGCCACAGATATCTCCATCCTGGAAATAAGCTTTTAAGACCAGGAAAATCCATCAGCTGAGGAATATGTACAGCACTAAACCAACACTTCCTGAGAAGGGATAAAAAACCCAGAGTACAGCCTGTCCCTCGCAGCTCAGAAAACTCCTGAGGATTCCCAGAGCACACCCCATCCCTACCTGGACAGAGCAGCCCCCGGTCGTGCCGGATGGCTGAGAAGGACACCTGGAGCTGAACCCACTGTCCCAGGAACACCCAGCAGCGAGGAGATGCCGATACACACCTGCATGGGCCGCACCAGTCCGTTTGTTGGTTGAGGCCAAAGCGAGCTCTGCATTTCTTAGGAGAGGCAGGATCTGAACACAGAAGCATGCGCGGCGGAGAGTGGGCAAGGCAGAGGCACAAAGAGGAGGAGGAGCACGAGGAAGAAAAGAGGCAACATCATTTTAGCCACTTTAACACACGACTAACAGACTACAATCCCATTATCTTCTGCTACAGAATGGCACCACCTGGAAAAAAGTGATCGTTAGGCAAGTATCAGTGATCACTGCTGGCAGCTGGAGGTGGTTTGGGAAACAGCTTTGAGAAACGTGGGCAATTACAGGGAAATTCACAGCTCTTCAAAATTCTTAAATCTGGAAAAAACTGCCAAATCCCGGAGGTGATGCCTTATTCCTCTATCTGTATCCTTACCAGCTCCGTGTCTTTTCAGCAGCACCTATGCGGGCTGCCAGTGAGCTTGGACTGCGCACGAAGAAAAGAGGAGGAAACATTGCAGAAGCAGACTGAAAGCAGAGTTAGCACCAAGGAGACCTAGGCCCAGGTATTCCACTCTGCCCCCCATCATACCCCTTCCAGTTTTAATGGAAAAGCTGTTCTCCATAGCCTTTCCTAAAACATTGTTCTTTTACTGTATAATTAAGGGACTCATTAGGGTGAAGCCCTGTTTGCTTTCAGGCACATCATGTTTTTCTCTGGTGTTATAAATGAGATTGGAACAGTGCACAGTACATTTGTGTGCTAGATTCAGCCTCTCTCTTTCAACCACCATCAATGTCTCATTGTGTACAACCAGTAGTTGGTTTTCAATCTGTAACAGGCAAAATTATCACTTTTGTATCACATAGACAAGACATATATGTGGATATATAAAAATATACAATGCACTCTACATAAAGGCTTAAAAGCCTGTATTCCTCTTATCAGACTCAGCACTGAATGAGATCAACAGTGTTAATTAAACTGAAGGTATTACTAGGACACATCTCTTGATAATGAGTCCCTTTTTAATGACTATTTATTGGTACATATAATATTTCTTCCTGATATGGCACAAACACTTCTGAAAACAGCATATGAATAGCCTTGGATGATGGGAATGTGTCTGTGACCAGTTGAAATCTGTTGAAATCTTTTTTAATTGGCAGGGTGGTACAGGGAGGTGGGATTTAATATGACTTTGTAATTTCAAAGTAATGTAGATTTGAAGCAACCAAACTTGGAACAGTACCGTGAATGATCTTCAGTCCTGCCATTACATTTCGCCCCACATACAATATGGATGCATTTGAGAGGAGTTTTCTTTAGTTAATAACAACTGTAGGTCTGATGGGGACATTTACCTTGGATGCTTTCAACAGATAAAGTTTAGTGATAGTTTATATGAAGTTATTATACATTTGCCAAAATCCAATCTTTTCATTTTTCATACACTACCTATGTTCTAAATCAAACACGTCTATTAAAAAGTCACAGAAATGTTAATTTGCCATGGCTTAAAAAAATAATGAATGTGTATTTTTCTAGTTAAGGAAAACACCGTAAAACCCAACAATTGCTTTAGATTCTCCCATCTGAGTAGGAAAGCAGGAACGACTGCCAGGCTGCACGCACTTACCTGAGTTGGAATCTTGCTGCTTTTCCCGTGTTCGTCTCTTCTTTTTCCCCTAGGAAATCAAAGGAAAAGCTGTTACCTGTGCTCCAGAAAACCGAGGGTGCTGTGCAGCTTTTTGGGGCTGGACTGGATGCTGGGGATGGCTGCTGCCTCCCAGGTAAGATCCAGTGCTGCTGGCTCAGCCCTTTCCAGGAGGAGATGAACTGGAAAAGGCTGCAAAGGGACTACTCAGGCTCATCTATGAGGGTGTCCCCTTCCTTTCCCCTCATCCTATTCCAATACTCCTAAGAAGAAACCCAGGTGGAACTTTCAAAGTGAAACCCAAATGTGTTTCTGCACACTTGCTAAGGCTTCTGCGCAGCACAAATTCATTCTGGGCTTGTGCCTTTTCTTGGGGATTAATCCTCATTTCCAATACTCCCGGATCAAGCACCACAGGCATTTTGGCTCAAGCACTTTGCATGAGATCTGTGTGTATTTACAAACTGCAGTAAACTCAAGAGGCCACGGCAGACATGTCCCCACTCCTACTCCCACATCTGCTCCAACTTCTTCCCAACACGCTGCTCCATGCTCTGGTTTATGAGTTCAGGACTATGCTGCAAATGCAGCTAAGACCCGGATTTATGCTGCAGGGTGTGTCAGAAAGTGTGAGGGAAAATGTTAGTGGATGTAAACCAGCTGTAATAAAGTCAGTGCCTGTGCCTGCGCTGCTCAGCACCTCTGCCAGCTCTCGCCAGAACTCCTCAGCCCACTCTGATGTATCTCACCTGGGGATCCCACCCATTATTGCTTTAATTAATGAATTGATAATTTAATTAATAAGTTTAATGGGATTAATAGAATTAAACAAGATTTGCTGTATGCAATGGAGAGAGTATGATCAATAACTGATGCTCCTGTCATATTCCTCCTCCTTATGTTTCTAAAAAGCACTTGGTCCATTTTAGAACCTTCCCTATTTCCAAAACGTGTATTAATGTGGTGCCTTATACCCAAACTGAAATTGGTTCTTTATATTCCTTGATTCCAAATGGGAAAGTTTTACGAAATCCCCAGAAATTTATTTTTAAGTAATACTAATCTATTTCAGTGCTTTTTCAATTCTGGACCCATCCCTCATTCTTCTTTCACTAATAAAAAAAGTCCTATTTTATCCCCAAACTGCCTCTCTGATTCACAAGATGCAGCACCTCCCCTCGTCCCCTAATGAGATGATTAATGAGGGCACAGCAGCATAGGAACAAATCTGGCCGTGCGGCACAGGCAGCTCCCAAGGCTGCCTTTGACCTGTGACTTCTTATATGACTTCTTGTGGTTTGAGTGAAGGTGGAAAGCTCAGAGCTGTGGTAAGCTTTTTCTACAGTGGGGGAGCAACTGTGTTTCCTGCCTGATATCTGTATCACGTGCTGCACAAGTGACCTACATTCCTCCTCCTCCTCATCCCTGCTCAAATTTGGAGAACAGTATTTCTTCCAAGAACCACAACACTGAAACCAGCTGGTTTACAGTGCTGGGAGGCCCAATATGCACTTTTGGAGCCCACAATCTATCTTCTGGAGAAAGAAACCAGCCCTTGGTTCCCCAAGGAACCAGATGAAAGTGATACAGGACTGTGATTTCCATGGAGGATGTGGTCTTGGAGGAAGGTAGTGCCATGCTCTCAGCAATGCTGATGCCCTCCAGATGTGTGCCCATCAAAATGTGGGCCAGGGCCCTCCCATCACCTCTGCTTTTTCTGCATCATCTCTGCCCTCTGTTTTGAGTTTGGAGTGGTTTGGGTCTGTTTACAGGTGTTTTTTTGCCCTTGAAGGAGTTTTGTCATTCTGGAAGGAGGGCTGGAGTCAGTGTGGGAAGGATGGGCACTCACTGTGCAATTCCCAGGGGTAAGAAAGTGCCTGTGAGGGAACTGATGGAGATGTGTGGCTGAACATCTGAAGACTTACGTGTGCTTTGCTTCAGTTCACTAACGAGCTTGTTAGGCATGAAATATCAAGAGTCGTGAAAGTCACAAGAAAAGACCCCCTACAAAAAGAGCCACTATTTAAAATCACAGAATCATAGAATTATTTGGGCTGAAAGGAACCTCAAACACATCCTATTCCAACCCCCTGACATCAGTAGGGACACTTTCCACTAGACCTGGTTTCTCCAAGCCCTGTCCAACTTGGCCTTGAACACTTTCAGGGATGGGGCATCCACAGCTTCTCTGGGCAACCTGTGCCAGGGCCTCACCACCATCACAGATACCTCAGCTGCTGTCCAAGATGCACAGAGCAGTTTGTGTCCATAAAATGTTATTTCCAAAGATATATCCACAGCACTTAAAAGCTTCTCTTCCTTTCTATTTGCATTTGCTTGGACAATAAGCAAATAAATGCTTGTGATTGCTGGGGGCTGTATCGTTAATCTTTTAGACAGACAGTAAGCCAAGAGGGCATTCGAAATATTCCTGAAATGTGAATTTCTACGGCTCTTGTGCTACCAGGAATGGCATTGTCAGGACCAGGTGTTTAGTAAACACTAGCCAGACCCTCAGGCCATTTTGGGCCATGCCATAGGGTGGAGGTCCGAGCATGGTGGCACTCACATAGTTGTCTCTGGCAGACCAGCCAGGGTAGAGCTGCATATGGAGCTGCCGTTCCTTGCGAGCCAGTTCGTAGTACTTGGCTTGTTCCTCTCGGGACAGCGCATGCCACTGCAAGGACAAACAGCAGTGAAGCATAGCCCTGCAGTCCCCTCCCAGCCCACCATGGCCACCCCACCTCAGGGCACATGTGGCCCCCTGTGTTCATGGGATAAGAGCACCCAGATTTGAAGCAGATGCTTATTATGTACTTAAGAGCAGCTGCAAGAGACAGGGATGTGGCACTAAGTGATGACACTGGGCCCCGTGAGCTCTTACCCTTCTTCCCAAGATCTGGTTGATGGCAGCACTCTCTTTCAGGGTGCATTCGGCAATGACTTTCGCCCGCATTTCTTTCATATACAACATGAAAGCATTCAGGGGCTTCTTAATAGTGGGCTTCTTGGCTTCCTTCTCTCTCTTTGGTTCTGGTTGAGGTTTCCTTGGTGGGACAAAAGGAGAGGCTGTCAGCATCAGAGCCACCAGAAGACTCAGCTCCAAAATAACCCAACAGCATGAGCAGGTGGAGGGGGCCCGAGATTCGCTCCTCAGATGCAGAGCTCAATGTTTATCCATCCTTCCTCCGTTTGAGCACTGAGAGTGATTAACGAAATGGGTGTTGAGGTGCTGATGCTGCTGAGCCAGCACTTCTCACTCACATGTTTCGGTCGTAGTGCTCCATCTCTTGCTTTCCGGAGTGGGGCACGATGGCAGGGTGTGGGATGCCTGTGGTGTGCATGCCAGAGCCCAGCATCAGTGGGTGAGTGAACCTGCAATAGAGAGTGGGTGAGCCATGCTGAGAGGGCTGCGCTGGGCCAGGGACACTGCGGATGCCAGGCAGCCAGGGTGGTGTCCCTCGGAGTGCACTCTGATATGGCGGAAGCAGATGGAAAGCAAGGACATGGAAAGCACGCAGGTGCTGCAAGGCTGGCGGGGGGCAGGCATTGCCCACCACCCCCAGGTCACCCTTGTGCCATGGCTGGTCAAGCCACGGGCATGTGGATGAAAGGATCCAGTGCCACAGCGAGGGAACCCACCTGCAGCAGGAGCCAGCCTGGCTGAGATCAAGGGGGCTTTCACCCAGCAATTTTAGCTACTCAAATCTCTGCTGTTGCAGTATCTCATTAGCACTGCAGAACGGAACAACAAACTCAGCCTGGGGTTTGGATGGGAGAGATTAGGACCACCCTGCACCTTTCTTTTAACAGAAATAGACTAAGTCTGAACATGAACTCTACTGCAACTCTAGGAGGTACACCTTGCCTAAGCAATGCTCTCCACAACAGGCTGAGATCATGAGAGGTCTCATTAGCTCTCAGGCTTCATTAGCTCTCTTCGGAGTTTTGGAGGATAAAGCCAGCAAAGTCAGCTTTGCCAAGCTTGCCACTTTATGACTCCAGCTTGAGATGGCAGAATTGCCCATGGGAGATGAGGTGTTCATTAGATATGCTGGCACGAAAAGAAAAGCTGTTTAATTTAATCCACCAGCACAGTCTGATCGTTATCTGACCAGGTGTACTTTCTCGGTTGCAGCAGTGCTGCAAAATCCGCCCCAAAATCCTGCAGGCAGGGAGGCTGCTGGGCTCCACAGGGAACCGTTAGCTCCTCTTTCCTTCACTTTTGAGGCTGTGCATGGGTGATACCTTGTGAGAAAGGCGGGCTGGTAGCACTCCCTTCCCTCTTCTGCAAGGCTAAGGGGCTCCATGGATCAAGGGATGCATGGATCAAGTGTTGTATGGATCGAGGGTTGCATGGATCCAGGTTTTTGCATGGCTAGGGGCTTGCGTGAGTAAGGGTTTGCATGGTTTTCCTGTGGGAAATCTCCACTAACAGCCCTTCAGGACAATATGAAGCAGAAGCAAAAGCTGGTGTGGCCCTGGCATCCCTATAGAGCCACGAGGGCTTTGCCCAGCAGCATGCCTGGAAGAGCTGGGCTTTGTGATTCCCATCCACAGGGGATGCATTTTGCTCACCTGAAGGCAGAAACTATGTTTATATCTCACAAAACTGACTTGTGCTAATGGGAAGGCAGCAAATCACTGTCCTCTCCTATCCTGTTTTTAAAGCTGAGACCAAGTAAACCAGATCCATCTCTGCAGAGCAAAGCGGTGGTGGCAGAAGGGACATATTCAAGATTAGGGTTAGTGACACAGGAGCAAAATCCTGAGCAATGGATTCCACCCCATTTTCCCAATGCTGAGCTGAAGGCTGGAGTTTTTGACTCTCTAGAGTTTTGCTGAATAAAACCCAACCGTTATGCATCCTTCATCCTCAATATTCCCCTGAGCACCCTTTGGACCAGACACTACTTAAAAGTGCCTTCTCTTCCCATGGCTGCCCTGGGAGGGTGCGTGGCTGTCCCTGCGTGGCTGTGGTCTGCTGCAAGCTCCTGCTGCACAAACTGCAAGCTGCGTGACCAGCCGAGCTGCCCTGTCTCACACAGCTCATACTCACCTGGAGAAAGAAGCCCCAGCAGAAAGCGCTGACGAATACGGCTGTCTAAATCCACATGACGGGATCGGATAGACAGACTGGCTCTGCCTGGGATCAGGAAGAAAGAGTCTATAAAGCATCCACAGCTACGTGGTATTTCCTAAAGATACCTTTTGTTAACGGGACTCAGAGCACTTATGCCCCTGGTTGGATGGACACTCAGTATCCCTTAGGCTTGAGGGGCAGCATGTGCTTTGGATGTTATTTTGAGAGAAGCTTCCTACAAAATTTGGATCTAATTCTGATCCCCTTCTGCCCCTGGTACTGACTAACACTGCAGCTTTGAGTTTACCTGGTAACAATGCAAAGTGCAGAGGCGTGCTGAAAAATCAGATGTTGCTGTTGCACAGAAGAAGTTACTCAAAAGAGCATAGTGTGACCGAAAAAAAAAATAAAGCCTGCTCAGACTCTCTGTGTGGTGCATAAGAAGCTGCACCAGGAGGATAAACATGAGGAAAACTTTCTTACTATTCACTGATCAAGCACTGGAATAGGAATTGCCCAGAGAGGGTGTGGAGCCTCCCTTACTGGATATCCCAGGATTGTCTGGACGCAATCCTGTGCCATGTTCTCTGGAACAGCTCTGCTTGAGAAGGGAGTTTGGTCCAGATGACCCACTGGTCACTTCCAACTTTATCTACTCTGTGACACTGTGATGCCCCAAGCACAGGAGACTCCTGAAGTCTGGAGAGAAGGTACCTACCCTGATTTTGTGCTTTAGGAATGCTCTGATTTCCCCAGCACATCCTTTTAAGGACACCCATCAGTTTTAAAGAAGCCAAAACCTCAGTCCTGCATTCTTTTTGAAAGTTGTTTCATATTGGGGACCAGGCATGTATGAGACCTGGGGCTGGCAATTATTTTTGAGATAGTAAAATAACTATGCAGGAAGTTCCTTGTTGTTCCCAGCAAGGGAACCCCCACATTTTCATATGGAAATAGCTCAAAAATACCTTGGCTTGTTCTGCAAAACTGCCCAAAGATGCTTCCAGCCTAGAACTGCATCTGGAAACTGAGATCATAGAATTACAGAATGGTTTAGCTTGGAAAAGACATTAAAATTACGGAATAGTTTAAGTTGGAGTTGAGTTGAGTAAAGCTCATCTCATTCCAACCTACCCTGCCATGAGCAGGGACATCTTCCACTAGACCAGGCCATTCCAAGCCCCATCCCAACCTGGCCTTGAATACTTTCAGGGATGGGGTGCTTACAACTGTGCTGGTACTCGCGTTCCTCTGACCAGGCTGCACAGAGCTATTCCTAAACCTAGGACTAGCTATTTTCAGTTCTAATGATGAAAAAATCCACAAAAAGTCCATTATCATTAAGTATGGTGCACTGTGAAGGACCCAAGCTCCTAGATGCCTGGGATTTTTTGGGGCTAAAGACAAGTTTCTGCCCTGAAGAGGAATAATGACAGTGTGGCAGCAGTCAGACCCCTGAGCTGCGCTGGGCAGGAAGGAGGCTCCCGCTCCTGCTACTGTGTACTGGCTTGACTGAAATCGGTGGGATCTGTCTGCAGGAAAGGGAGCTGAGGCTGTTTACACCCTGGCAGGCAGAAGCCCTCTCTGACCCCTCAGATGCTGGTGGGTATAAACACACCAACAGCCAAGCACTGCTGCCCACCAGGAAACTGAAAGAACCTTTGAAGTTAGAGGTGGCTGCCCCAGGGCCGAGAAAACACTTGGAGCTAATCCAGAATTGACCTGTGTTAATCCAGAGGCTGGGATATTTGGATAGGAATGGAGTCGGGCACTTGCAGCTTCATCCCAAGTCCCTCTGACATGAAAATTAAAGCAAGTGCAAAATCAGTCCCTGATAGTTGGGAGTGCATGATTACAGCCCATATCATAGAATTACTGGTTTGGGTTGGAAGGGACCTTAAAGTCCATCTCATTCCAAGCTCCTGCCATGGGCAGGGACACCTTTCACTATATCCAGCTGCTCCAAGCCCTGTCCAGCCCGACCAGGAACACCTCCAGGGATGGGGCAACCTGTGCCAGGGCCTCACCACCCTCTGTGTAAAGAACTTCTTCCTAACACCTGACCTAACTCTACTCTTTTAGTTCAAAACTGTTCCCCCTTGACCTATCATTATCTGCCAATATAAAAAGTCCCTCTCCTTCTTTTTTATAAGCTCCTTTTAGGTACAGGAAGGGGCTCTGGGGCCTCCCAGGAAACTTCTCCAGGCTGAACAACCCCAGCTCTCTCAGCCTGTTTCCAGAGGATCACCTGGTGATGGGAGGGTAGCTCAGAAAAAAGGTTGTGGGATGGTGGAGGAGAGGCTGCCATGGCACCACCGTGCTTGGCCCTGGGCACAGGTGAGTGACACAATTTGCAGGTTCCTGGCTAATGTTAACTGCCAGGCTCCCATAAACAAAACTCACTTGACTGGACTCTTGGAAGCTTTTATCTGACTGTCATCCCAGCTTAATTACAGAGAGAGTGATTGCAGCTCCTCCTACTGAAGCGCTTGGTGAGAACAAAACCAGTTTCTGCCCAGCTCCTGCCTGCCAGGAGCAGGAAAAGTGGATCCCATCCTTTTGTGGAGGAAAAGTTGTTTCCCATGTGTAGCTGCCCTGGTCTGGCAGCTGACTTGGTGGCACCAGCACAACCATGGAGTCCTGTAATGGTTTGGGTAGGGAGGAACCTTAACGATCATCCAGTTCCAATCCCCTGCCATGGGCAGGAACACGTTCCCCTAGACCAGGTGGCTCAAGATCCCATCCAACCTGGCCTTGAACACCTCCAGGGATGGGGCAGCCACAGCTTCTCTGGGATGCATCCCTGGCATGACCATCCCCAGCACACCCATCCCTGGCACACAGCCCCTGCTGCCTGCTGCTGGCATGGAAGGATGCTGCCATGAACCTGCCAGGCTTCAGTGCTTCTGCACCCACCCACAGCAGTGTGCTGGGCCTCAGCTGAGAACCGGACACTCCACAAGTGGGTTTGGTGTTCCTTCCATATATTTTGGGCATGGAAAAGAATGACCAAAACCTCTATTAAACAAATGTGCCTCAAGGTGCTGCTCTCTGCATGTCAGGCCATTTGTTGCTTTACCATATCTGCTCTATTAGCCATTAATGAAGGCATCTGATGAGGCTGCAGGAGGATGCCAAACCCCAGGGATGCTGGAGCAGCTCTCAGCCATGAAAGCTCTCTCTACCACCAACTGCCCCACAAAATCTCCATAAAAAACCAGACTGCTCTCCCTTCATGAGCCCAGGGCTGTCTGAACAGCATCATCCTAACCCAGGAATGGACCTTCCATTTGACAAACAGGCTCCTTTCTCCCTGCTCCAACTATTTCTTTCATGTTACAGCACAGTCACTCCAGTCCTTGTTTTTCTTGAAGATGAATTACATCATATGAGGAGTTAAATCATCACTCAAGAGTAGCAGATTTAGCACAGAAGGCAAAATGTAATCTCTTTGAAGCCAGACTCTGCATCAAAGGCCTCATCCTCTGTTTCCTTATGGTTAAATATCTGGAAAAAGAAATTCATAAACAAAACAAAGCAAAAGCTAACATTTTACTCTGTGCTTTAAGAAGCTTCCCCTTTCTCACTCTGCAGTAAGTTCTTATACCTGAAGCTCTCCACCAGGTTTTTCCAGGGTTTTATCCACCGGCACTGGGGGAATCTGGCTACTGTCCCTGTGACCACCTGCCCTGCAATTTCTCCTCATCCCAGCAACCCTGAATTGTTACCTGCAGCCATCAGTCTCCCTGTCAGCCTCTGCAATGTCTCTACCTCATCACCAGGGATTAAATATTAATCTGAGGAGTGATGATGCCCACATGGCAGCACCTGCCAGACCCACTCTCTCAGTGTGCTCATGGTCATGGAGACAAAAGCCAGTGGCAATGACCACACACTGGTGTATTTTTAACTTGTGTCCCTGGGGCAGGTATACCAACAGGCTGTGCTTTGCAGGATGCTCTGCAGGGCTGGCCCACTCAGGGGGTACATTTTGGGAGTGCTCCAGCTCATGGCCTCTCCTTTTCCATGCCTGCTGGGGCAGTGGTTACTAACTGGCTGAGCTGTGGCCAGGCTGTGGGTAGCGGGGTTGCTTCCTGGCAGGTCTTTGCCATGATGTGCTTTTCCCCTGTGTGTCAGATCCCAAGAAACACCATGGCCTGGCAGATGAAGCATCCCACGGGATTACTCCATGCTGGTGGCATGCTCAGGGAAAGCACTGTTTGTGCTGAAAAGTCCAGTGAGGGAGAAAATTACCTCCTACTCCAAAAAGAGACTTTTGCTATGATTAGGAGGGGTGGGTGGGAAGCTCTCTTTGGGTTTCCTAATCCACACAGACAGATGTAAAGTAGGAGGCAGTTTTGAACTGGGCAGGTTGTAATCCATCTCCAGGCATGCTTCAGCCAGGATGAAGCCTTCAGCCTCTCTACAGGTCTGCTCCCACCTCCAAGACAAGGCTAAATTCTCCTCCCTCTTCATACAGCACACAGGAGGGGTGAAGCTGGGGGAAAGCACCGTGGAGGTTACGGAGAGTAGCAGAAGTGGTTGGCTCAGTGACCCATCCCGTCCCGCGCGTCCAGCAGGGCTGCAGTTTTGCGGGGCTGAGCCCTCCTCACTCACCATCCCATCGACGGTGTGATCTGGCCAACTCCACTGGGGGGCAGGGGGTAGAAACCAGGGATGTCTGAGGTCTGGGAAGGACGGTGCACTCCTGGAAGAAGAGAGAAGGAGAGGAGTTGAACCTGGCACTGCACTCCCTGGCTGATCTGGATCGTTCCCAATCCCCTCGCTGCTTCATCTATGGTCACTTGTGGACAGCTACTTAAAATAGCTATCTGCAAGTGGCAGGATGGTGTCTCCTGTGGTTCCCTCTGTGGGGATATGGTGGGTCATCCACATTGCTGCAAAACCACAAACGTAAAGGGGAATGGAGGAGGGAGGCATCTTGCTCCTGCACAAGCATCATAGCTGCTCCATGTCAGCCTGAGGCCAAGCAGCACTGTGCTTTGTTAAGGATTTGGCTGACTCCAGGCATCCCTCTGCCTTTCCCAGAGAGCCCACTCAGGTGTTCAGTAGATGCTCAAAGCCATTCCTATGCTCCCTCTCCAAAAGTCATCTGCAGGACCCACTGTGAGCAGGCAGTGGGAATGCTCCAGCAGGCATCACTTCCAACTTCATTTTAAGCAATATGATTCAAAACAATTATTCTGCGGCTCTGTGGGTACCAAGGAACTGCAGAGGTGGGTATGGTGCCAACTGGGAATTCACCCTTTGCATGGGGAATCCCTGTGTGATCTTCAAAGCCGCTGGCATGGGCAGCATGGCCAGGGGACACAGCTGCAGCATTGCTTCGTTCCTATCTGGGCTGGAAAACATCCTGTGGTGCCTGGGCTGCAGGTGGGACTCAGACAACCATGGTGCTGCTGGCAAAAACAGCCACCAGCTGACCCCTGGACTGGGAAACTGGAGGGGTGTTGGGGCTGAGCTCTGGCACAGCATGGTGTAGTGATGGCTGCTATCGAACCTCAGACAAAATTTGGAACAGGGATTGTTGAGTGGCTGTCTTGTATGATAAATACATGGACTAAACTGGTAATGAGTTGCAAGCAGTTGCAACTGGATTTTTCTCCTAGATGTATGGATGGCACCTTATTAATTAGGAATGACACCAACCAATTCTAAGCATTTTATTAGGAGACAGCTAAAATAAATATGTAACTGACCTGACAGGAATATATAACCTAGTACAAAATTTGCTTCAAGTGGGACTCAGTGGCCCATGGAGGGTCAAACAAAACCAGGTCTGCACAAGGCAGCTGATGGAACATCCTCAGATTTGCACCCCCAGCAATATGAGTTGCGTTAGTCAGAGCACAAGTTATTCCTGCTGGCCCAGTGGTTGGGGCACCAGCCACTGACTCAGAATTCCTGCTTGTATTTCCCTGTCTGTGTGTCCTTGGGCTACTGTGAGAAACTTTAAAGGGATGCTGGGAGAATGAGTATGAGAATGACTCTCAAGTGCTTACACTGGGCGATAATGGGAGCTATTTCAGCGATGAAAACAGAAATGGGGCACATCGAGGATGAACACAGAAGAAAACCCTTGCCCCAGCATTGTAGAGATGGGGCATATATGACCACAGCTGCACCACAAATGCAAGACCCAGCTGAGGATGATGGGCTGAACCTTTCCTTGAATAGCACACGGGGGTCTCTGGGACAGACAGACTCCCTGTATCTGTAGAAGTACAGGCTAAACGGGAAGGGGAGACTGGCCAGTGCCTGCACTGAGGGTGCAGGTGGGCAGCACAAGGACAGCGTCCTAGAATGACTCAGAGGTGAATGCTCAGGGACTGCTTCAGTGCCAGTTGTAGTATCCACAGAGGGATATAACCAGCTCTGCCCTTGGGTGAGCTGCTCTTGTATCACTTAAGGTTCCCTAGGCTGACAGCAAGTCCCAGGAGGCAGCTCATGGCAAGCAACTCCTGGAGAGGCAGAGCTCTGCAGGTACAGTAAATGCAGTGTGAGAGAAGGTGTGTTGGGTTGCCTTCCTGCACACTTTCTTTCAGACTCAAACTCAGCCATTACCTAAGCTTTTAGTAGGTTTATTTTGTTATCTCTTCTTAATTTTCTGCTGAGTTTATTATGCTCTGATAGCTGACAAGCAGTGTGCAGCCCGGAAGACAACCAGGATGTGCCTGGGTATCTCTTACACCAGAGCTAAAATCCTACCCATCAGCATCCCTAATGAGTCCAGAATGTGACTAGATCTAAACTCTACCATCAGCATCCCTGGTGAGTCCATAGTGTGGCCTCCAGGTTCAGACCAGGGATTATTCAGTGGGTCCTCCAGCCAAAAGCATCCTCAATAACTCATTATTTTATCAATAGTGTTAACTAGCTGATGCCTCTAGGACAGTTTGGATCACTCCTCGGTGGAGGCCTTTGCCCAAATCGCAACAGTTGGTTTTGTGCCTCCGTTTTGGCACTGGTTTCTGCACTCTTATGGACACTGACCTCCTTCCTGAATGCAGTTTGACACAAAACTGTCAGTTTGCTTGCTTTCCCATGAACTCAAGCCCAGGTTTGTGTAAAAGCCTGGATAATCTGAACAGATGTTCTGCACTAGGGTAAGGTTGATTTTACACTTAGTTTGTCAGGAACCCATGAAGAATGATGGAATGATGGACTGGGGTGAATTTCTCAACACATACCTGTATTTACAGTTTAATTTAGAGGGTTTAACCTCAACATACTGTACTTTCCTCCACAGCCTCATGAGCCAATTGACATGGGCTGGACTCACACAGGAACACAAAAAGCCAAACCGGGTGACAACCACGTAACATGTGGCTATGGGAACGCACATGTCAATCCAGTCAACTACCAGACACTGATCCTGTTTAGTCAAAATATTTCCTGTTTCAAGCATTTATTTTCTCAAAATGACAACCTGACAAGAGTTTAGGTATGAGTCAAAGGAAAGATTACTTTCCATTTTCTGGTTGACTCTTGTGCATTATCGTGCAGGCTCTGGTCTGGTCTCAAGGTACAGGACAGTTTGTACAGAGAACTGAGCACACTCCATCAGAAGGGCTGGCACTTTTGGTATCAAACTGCTCATGGCCAGATCACAAAGCATTGCAAATAAGCCAAATAACCTCCTACTGCTAAGCAATGTCCCAGGTGACCAAAGGTTCTGATTTTTCTTATTGATTTGGTATCAGGCGGGTGCCAGCCTCAGTGGTCTCCAGCTCTGTCACCCTTCCCAGCACACAGGTGCCAGTGCTGCCATTACCTTGTTTCTGGTTGATGTCAGCGGGCAAGTGTGGCGAGTGGGAGCCATGGCTGAAATGGTCGTTGCTGTACGGGATGAGTGGGGTGAGAGGGTGCACTCCGTGCGACGGCTGCACAACGGGAACTTTGTTGGACTGCAAGACACAACGATGGAGAAGACTCAGAAGTCATCAGGATTCACCAGCAAGGAGGGCCAGTGCCCTCTGCAGTCCTGCTGTTGCCAGAAGGGCTGGGAATAACTAAAAACACTACACAAACACTAAACAAATTAGTAAACAAACACTGCAGCGTCCTGCAAAAAAATCCATAAACAAAGCAGGGAAAACAACTGGAGATGATTTCTTGGATAAGCGGAAAACAGATGAAACCAGCATAAAGTTTTCAAAGATCAGAACTTTTTTTTCCATTCATTTCCAGTATCTTTTATTCTAGGACGAATGCTCCAAGTATGTTACCCAAAGCAAAACTCTTGTTCTCTGTCCTGGACTACAGGGTCTAAATCTGGACACAGTGAATCTTTCATATTCATTGTGAAAGTCATGTTTGGACTTCATTAATCAGGGCTGTCATGCAAGGATAGGCACAGGATCACAGAATCACTTAGGCTGGAAAAGACTTTATAGAGATCATCAAGTCCAACCATTAACCCAACATTGCCAAGGCCACCATTAAATGCTGAGGGTAATGCCTCTGAAAATAGAACGTGGTCACCTTGGGCTGAAATCCCTGTTGGATTAAGCTCCAGTGCTGGAGACGGACCAGAGGGAGCTGAGGTAATGCTGGAGATGCAAAAAATCCAGGAAAAACAAGCAATGAAATGTCTTCTCTTGTAGCTACTCCTGGTTACACACAGCATGGCTGTTGGAGCCCAACACCTTGGAAAAGGCCCTTTTTGGTGAACACAACAGGAAGTCCTCCTGTGTGTTGGAGCAGAGAGAAGAGAACCTGTTTGGAAGAGCTGCACAGCTGTAAAGAACATACACACAGACACACAGACACATAGACACACACACACTGCCATCTACGTAGCCTCCTTGCCTCGAGCATCCCGTGTTGCTTCCTACATGCCCAGTTTTGTCCATGGTTGCCTTTAAATCCAAACTAACTTAATCTTGGTGGTAGAATGTTAGGATTTGTCCCAGATAAATCCACAAAAAGAAACAGGACTAACAGCACTTCAAAACAGGGTGAATTTGGGAACGGAGCAGGTCAGAAAGCTCTCTAGGGGCTAGGAACTGGGTGTGCCAGCCAGTTTTTACCAGTCTCACTGGGATGTCTACAGATGATTTGCTGTGTGACTTTTGACAAGTCATTTAGGATTCCTGGACTCAATTCACTGGTGCCTTTCACTTTGGTAATGATTTTGCTCAGACAAAATGAGCACAAAGCTCCAGTTTGCTTTGGTGAAGGAGGCACAGACACAGACAATGACTCTGATCAACCTGTCCTGGACTTATTCCAGCTTCTCCAAGTGAACTGGGAGCCCCGGCAAGTCCTGTCTTTTGCATCCCTGCTCTGAGGAGGAAATCCATGAAGCGGAAAGGAAAACAGACAGATGGAGACGCTGCTTTACATCTGCTTTTCCCACAAAAGTTTGCTCATGCAAATAAAAACCAAGAGGCACGCAAGTCTGCATTTGAGAATGAATGAAAACCCTAATTCCTGATACTTAACAGGCATACATGTTTTTTTTCTACAATAGTACCCCATACAATGGGGTACTGGGAATGTAATCCCCCTTCCCAGCACAAACTGGTGTGGTATCGGCATCGCTGTCCTGCAGCAGGGCCATGGGTTATGTGGTTTTCCCATCAAGAGCAGCACTGAGCTGGTTCCTTGCTTAGTTAAACATGTTTGGAGCTCTGAGCTCTTTCTATTCTTAGCCATCATATGAGATGAAGAAGCACTTTTCAGTGATATTTCTAAAATTAGCTATGGTTTAGCTTATTTAAGATCCACAAAGCTTAAATGAGGGATATGCAGTTCTACGTGTACATTCAAACAGAACACTGGAGCAGAACAAGCTCACTGTTGAGCTGTTTTGAAAACCTCAACTCAAGCATTTCTTCTGTTCAAAGTAGGGCAGATCTTTCTGTCCCATTTGCCTCATGCCTGATCCACAGCACCATTCACCAGCCAGCCTCGCTGCCTAATGACTGTGAACGGCTTTCAGAGCAATGAGAGAAGACACAGACTACTCCAAAACAGATGACTTGTTGTGATGCTGATCTGCAGGACAACTCCCTAGGGAAAAGCAGGGAGTACATGTGGTTACAGTAAAGCATGGACTGTCCTCCTTCCCACGAAAGCAGAACTTGGATGTGTTCAAGGCCAGGTTGGACTGGCTTAGAGCTGGTCTAGTGGAACGTGTCCCTGCCCATGGCAGGGGATTGGAAAGAGATTATTTTTAAGGTCCCTTCCAACCCAAACCATTCTAAAATTCAGTGGTTCAGTGGTAACCTGGTGGTACAACAAGACTTGCAGCTCAATTACTCAGTTTTTCCATCAGTTCAGATGGAAAACAACATGCTGCACCAGTAAGAACTGCCTTCCCCCATGACCCTTCTACATTTGCCCTTGCCTCACTCAAAAACTTCTCTACTCTCTAAAGCCATAAAGATTTGGTGGGAAGGATGACCAGCAAGGAGACAAGAAAAAATTCTGCAAGGGGCTATTTATACCCCTTTCCACTTCCACCATTAGGGAGCTTGTGTACAGGAACCCATCTCCCAGAATAAAGGGAAGAAGGTAATGATGCACAAAAATATGGAGAAACAGTGAAAACTCCATCTTGATCCTGGCTCAAAGACTGCAGCTGCCAATGGTTGTGGCCCATGGTGATGACTGCAGCTCCTGGTCTTCCACAGCTGTACTGTGGAACCACACCTGGCTTAGAGAAATCCATATGCCAGAGAAATAGGATCAATTCCCCTTTTTTGCAAGGTCTAGATTATGTTCCTGCAAATCAGCTGCAGCACATGAACCTTGAAGAAGCTTTTCAAAGCCAGGACTTAGCAGCTAACAATGTTTTATGCCATAAAATTAGCCTGCTGTAAATGTTTTCTCCCAAGAGGATTGAATTGACATGAGGGCAGTGGTTTGGTGTTCTCTCAGAAGGTCTCCTGGGAGGACACTGGGTGCTGCTGGTCAGGACATCACAGGGAGGTTTGGTTTGGTAAAGCATCGTATTTTGTCCCCTGGGTTTCAACACAGCCCAGCGCTGCAGTGACAGAGCTGCTCATTACCCACCCACCAAAATTAACACTGCTGGTGCCAAACACCATGGCCCCAACACCAATTTGTCACCTCCTGTCCTTCAGCAGCCACAGGGGGATGTGAAGGGGCTCCAAGGACAGCTTTGCCTCACCTCTTTCAGCACAGCCCTTTGAGGCCAGGTCAGGGAATGAGCTGTGCAGCCACCACCTTGTACAGAAATGAAGAGACACATTTACAGCAACTGCAGAATGGTATTTCCAGAGGGGATGGAGCAGCAGGATGCAATTTGCAAGCCTGGAGGGCTCTTTCCCTTCTCTCAAATTTGCTAAATTGAAGCTCTGCTGAGTGCCCAGCTTCCATGTGAACGCTGCCCCCTCCTCCCCTGTGTGCTGGGCCAGGCACTGATGCTGCAGTGCATCCCTCTCCCAGCACCAACCATCCCACCAACTTCCCTGAAAATGACTGAAAAACCCAATGCTACTCAAGGAAGAAGATTCCCTCCTTGAAGCAAAGATGCGACTTTAATAACTAGAGGTAATTGGAGGAGCAAAGAGAAAAGACAGTTGCATTAATTATTAAGAAAGATTAATTGTTGGCAAGGGAAAATTAGATCTCCCCACCCACACCTGTGGGTGATTGTGATGAGATCTCAAGGCCAGAGAGAAAACTCATTTTCCTCTGACCACATGCAAACCCAATGGATCTTGCATATAAGGATCACCCTCACCATTGGGGTTCCAGTGTATTTTGGCCCCAAGGTGCTTGATTAGACTAAACATCCTTTGCCTTTGCTCCCATTCTTGATCACACGTGCTCTGGCCACAGGTAGCAATGGGGTTATACAAGCTGCTGGTTGATCAGAACTATAAATGAGGGTTTTTTAATAAAAATGTGGGGTTTTCACTAGAGAATAGTGTGAGATTACAATCAAACATTTTCTGGAAAGCACCTCATGTTAGCAAGTATTTTAATTAATTTTTAAAGACTTATCTATTTAGTCATGACATGCTAAAAATGAGTAGTTTTACTTTGCTGGTTTGATGGAGGATTTTTATGTTAAACTTTAAAGCTAACCTTAGAAAAATGTAGCACAGAAGGTCAAAAGTCAAAATTTCAATGAAATGATCAAACTAAAAGATTTCTATGTCTGGTAAAACTCTTTGAGTTTTTAACTCTGAAAATATTGTAGAAAAAACCAGCAGTGGTCACACCACGCTGCCTGGCGGCTGCTGAGGATCCCAACATCTCACCAGTCCTGGGCTCCACCACTGCTTTTACGGATGAGAATGACTTTAACCAATTTTCAGGTAGAAGACAATTCAGAACTAAAATAAAGTAGTTTAACTCTACTGCCCCTTCCAATAATGAAAAATGTTACACTTCATGCTGTTAAATTTTCATGGGGATGTGACTTCAAGAGGTGCTGTGCTCCCCATGGAGGATAACAAGTGCCTGCCTTGCACAAACCACAACTCCCAGAACATCAGCCAACATCCCGAGAGTCAAAACTGCTGGAAAACCCTGCACTGTGAGAGCCACTGTCCATCCATGGATGCACAGGAGCCTGCAGGGAGAGGAAAGTCCCATAACTCCTCTATGACCCTTAGAACCAGGTGTCCACATGACCCTGGCTGTGAAGAGGGAAGACTGAGAGCACCCTGGAGGGAGCAGGATCCATCCCCCACAGCACAGAATGCCTGGGTGCAGGAGCTGGTGGCCAGGGCGAGCACTGTGGTTTCCAGCCTCGCCGAGGAGCCTTGCCGCAGTCAGGTGAAATTACTCACACCACTTTCAAATTTTCCCACGTTGCCAGCCCGAAAGACAGAGAAATGAAGAGCTGTGGGTCAGCTCAGCAGTGGCCTGTGTGTAGCAAGGGGTCTGGCCAAGGGAAGGGAGCTGGGGCAGGCAGCTGTGCCAT